TTTTCTGCTCTTCTATTTAATTTTCTTAATCTCCTCCTTTGGCTTTTAATGGTGGTTCTTCATTTGGCTTGCGGTGGTTTTTTGAAGACTTCCTCTGGTACAGAATTAGCCGGGAGAACGCAGGTAACAAACCTGTTGTGTTCCGGGCCGTTGCCGAGTTCCAGCCGTTGTATTAGCTGGGGTGCAAATCTCGCAGTGCTTTTGTTGTCCGTAGGTCTGTTCGTGCGATGAAAATGAAGCTGGAATGACACCTAGTGGCAAATTGTAGTGTGTCCTTCTCCAAGCACAGCCCTCTTCTGTTCACCTGCCCGCTCGTTCTGGGTGAGATGCTCTTCCAAAGAGGAATCTGGGTTTGGTGTCCTAGACCACACCTGCAGTCCTAGATGTCCTTTCTCAGCCTGGCACCGTTTTCTCCTGTACTGATCCCAAAGAGCAGCGTTTTCAGCCCGCGCAGGGATGAGCACGAGTCCACGTGACCCCACTGGAAGGGGATGCTTGATGGCGGGGAAAAGCCACGTGCGATCAACCCACCGGTATCTCGAGGAGATGCTCACCAGCCCCCTGCCTTGGGGGGACCTCTTGGGGGACACTAGGAGAAAGCAAAGCCTAAAGATGCCGAGGCTGGAATCGGTACGTTTGGGACTTTCTCCCATCACGAGACACGATGGAGCAGCTCGGGGTGTTGCTTCCCAGCGTATTCTGTTTCAGGGAAAAATGGTTTCAAGGAGTAGAGGGGAATTATGGATGGTTGTCTTTTGGAACTTAGCTGTACTGTGTAAAACCATCCCATCATTTTGTCCTGGAGTTTGGCTGCTCTCTTGGGGAGGAGAATTATGGCTTCAAAGAATGTGGCCTGTTGATTCCTTGATTATTTTTTGAGGGTTATTGGAAACAAATGTGAAAAGCTCTTCCAGAAATAACATTAGGTGGTCTACAGACTTGTTCAGCTTTGCATCCAGATTTTTTTGAGTACGTAATGTATTTTTCTATGGATTTTGCTAAACCAGCAATTACTTGTCCATGTGTGATTTACTTCTTACCCCTCTCAAGCTTCCAAAAAACTAACACATCAACCCAGTGGCGGTATAAACTCCCCTTCCTTCAAGCCAGAAGTCATCTGTGCTGCTTAACACTGAGATCGTGATAGCATCCAGATGCTCCTGCCAGCTCCTGGACTGCCTTGTTCTTGGAATCGTACAGCAGACGTGAGGGACGGCTTTGTAGCCTTGTGCTGAGAGTGAGCCCGGACAAAAGCGCTCTGACCTGCTGGCTTCGGTAGCGAGGTGGAAACCAGCTGCAGCGTAGGGTCTGCGTTACGTGTTTGGTTTGGAAATGATAAACCCTTTGGAATTTGGATATTTTCTTCTTTTAGGTCAGGTATTTTCTGCTCTGGTAATTCATGTTTTTTCTTACACCCCGCTCCATTTCTCAATCCTGTCTTCTACCCGGCTGCTTGGCTGAAGCACTAATACAGTCAGCTTTTACGTCATGCACGAACTGGAATAGGAATCGTGGTTAACTCAGCTGCTGGGCAGGATTTGGCTCTGCCGGAGCCGTGCTGAGTCCTGGGGCAAGGTAAAACATCTGTAGGGTGCCGTGCAGGCGGGGGAAGGCTCCCTTTGAGGACCCCGCAGCGCAGGCTCAGCTCAAGATGATCTTGTACAACACAGGACGGCGAGCGCGTGGCTCTTACAGGCCTCTTGTTAGGCTGCGTGGGGCCATAGTCCTGTTTTAAGTGACGATACTAAAGATTTGGGAGGGTTTGAGGTTGGGTAAATTAATGCAAAGCAACCCAGGGATTGGCTCTGGGGGGGAGATGACGGTCGCAAACTGTTCTCTGGCAGCAGCGCAGTCCAGGTGAGCCCTTGGATTTGCAGGGAGGGTGGTTGTGTCCCGGCCTCTCACCGGATCGGCTTTGTCCCGAAAAATCTCACCACATGCCTGTACCCCTCAGTGCCGGATACCCAGCCCCAAGTCGCCTGCACCACTCTCGGGAGGTTTTTGGTGCTTTTTTTTTTTTTTTCTGACCACTCAGTGCCCTTTTTCAGCCTGGATTAAGAACGCAGCTCTTGGGTGCTCCGGAGGCAGGTGCCTGCGTCTCAGCTGTGCCTTACTGCAGTACGTTTGCAAAAAAAAAAAAAAAAAAAAAAGCAAAGCAGCAGGGATACACGGTGCAAACGGCATCGCGGAGCTCGGTACCTTCTACTCTGTGTCCCTTGTGCTGGAGGGAGCACTGGGGCTGCTGCCTGCCTGACGTGACGCTTTTTCCTTCTCCCGCTGCGTCCCCCCCGCGCAGTAACACTGTAGATCCCTCCTGTGCGTGACGGGCGAGCTACTCGCCACCGTCGCAAATAACGTTGCACTGTGTTTGTCTGCTGAACGTGGAAGAGATCCACGACCCCGACGAGGTGCCTTAGGAACGAGCAGCTCTGAGCACGCCCAGATGCCGTGGGTTTTCCTGTTGCTTTTTGCTACGGAAAGACGCCTCCTGGGAGCCACTCGGGACCGGTGGTTTTCCAGCACTTGCTGTTATTTTTGGTCACCAGATTTCCGGTGCTCCGGCTCGTTAGTCTCCTAACAGGGCTGTTTTGAGAAGCGTCCAGTTCTGTGACTTGCCTTTTGAGTCCTGCCTTTACGCTAAGGACTGTCTTGTAGGATGAGGTCTGACCCATTGTAATTAGTCTGTAACGTGATGATTAGAGTGTACAGAATTATTTATTTTGTGTACTCAGTCTGCTAAACGTGTAAATGTATTCTGTGTACCCCATCGCTCTGCTGTCGTTACTTCTCGATCTGCTGAAAGGCGACGCTGCTTTCTGACACGTGAGTGATGTCAGTAAATGCATCGAAAGCCAGGAGCTACTCACAGCCCTCCTTACGATGCGTGTTAAATACCACAGCAAGGAGGTACCAAAGTGCCCGTAAATGGGTTTGCTGGTTTCTTTAAGGCAGCTGCCAGGCCGGGAGCTGCCCGAGGGAAACCTCGTGCAGGGCTGGGATGCCCAGAGGGATGCTCAGGGTGAGCAGGGCAGTCTCGCTGGCAGGCAGGGTTCGGAGGCTGGACAAGCGCTTTGGGACGTTTTCTTCACTTTTTTGTTGGCTGCAAGGTGGCAAACGGCGCCGGAGAAATCCCTTGGTTTGCCCGCAGCAACTCGTCACCTCTCCGGTTTCACTCTGAGCAAGAAGAAAAGCTGTAAGACCAAGTGAAAAACGCGTACCCCTTCTGAACCAGGTCACTTCCTGGAAGGGAGGTGATTTTTCAGGGGCGAGGGACCCTGTCCCAGCAGTGACGGGCACGATGGTGACCTGAGCGCACAGAGCAAATGGCCCGTGGTGCTGCGGTTCGTTCATTCCTGTTTGAAGCTCCACGTGGTCACCGGTTTCTCTGCTCTTACGGCCCATCCCCACATCTCTGACATCCAACTATCTTTAAGGTCGTTTAGGAGCTGGCTAAAGCCAAAAGAGGAGTGAGGAGTGCTGATTTCACGTCACGGGTCTTATTTCAGGTGCGACAGAGTGAAAGCACCCTCCACGTGTCGTGGCGGACCGGTGGGCCGGTGTGTACCTAGTGTGGCTGCTACCGCCGGCCTCAGGGCCGATCAGCAAGGAGCTCAGCCCCGGGCCCTTCTCCCCCGTATCGAGGATTTCCACTGGAGAGGAGCCCGAGCCAGCAGCTTCACGGGTTTCTCTGCAAGCCCCTGTTCCCCCACATCACTTCGCTCCAGATGCTCCTGCTTTCTGCAGAGCAGACCACTCAGTGAAGCTGAATTTTATCCAACCAAACTAAAATTTGTATTTAAGCAGCTTTTCTTTTTTTTTTTTTTAACTCAAGCATATGGGCCAGACTATTTGTCTTTACCCTCCATTCGTGATCGCTAGCCCTTCCCATGAGCATGTCTCCGTGTAGCGTCGTGCTTTCTCTGCAGCTGCTTGGGCATGAGAGCGATTACAAGGTTTGGGGGCTGTGATTCACACAGCAAAGGTTTTATACCACATTGGCATCACTGGTAAGGAAGAAAAAACCCTGATGCCTCATGTTGGGTCAGTCTGATCCTGCTCCTCTCCACACTGTCCTCGTGACCGGCTCTGTTTGGAGCTGCCAGGAACCAGGTTTTAATTCACTGACCACATGTGAACACAAGACTTATGTTTTTTGCACCTGCTGTTGTCTCAAGAACCTGTTTGGGTGAAAATGCTGCTTTCTTCTGAAAACCTGTTGCCTGGCCTTGAATTTTGTTTTCAGCCTCAAGTTTTCCTTTGGGATGGCCTTGAGTTTCCCGCTCTGTTACCTGGCAAACCTGCGCTGGTGAAGCAGCCTGCTGTTCTCCAGCTGCCGCCTTCCCCAAGAGCTGGAGCTGCCGTTGGCTTTCCTCCCCTTCAGCTCCGTGTTCCCGGGCTGTTACACAAGTCGCAGCTTTAAACTGCAGGCAGGGATCTCATGAGATCCTGTGTGCCCGCCAGCACCCACCCTCCATCGCAAGCCAAGAAGCGCTCGCTCGTGCCGAGCCTGGTGAGCTCCGCCATCCCTTTCCTGGAGGAGCTGATGCTGGTGGGACCAGCTGGAGCCGGAGACCTTGCCCCTGGGTTGGTGGCAAGGCCGTTACAGGTACCGTCACCCACCCTTGACGCTGTAGTGGGCTCTGGGCTGGTGCTGGGGTGTAGCTCTGGGTGCTTGAGGACCCCCTGAGCAGCCCCTGGGCCGCAGCCAGCCCTGTGCCCCCCCCGTCCTGCCTTCTGCGCGTCCCCAGTGGGTCCCAGCTGGGCACCGAGCTCCAGCTCGGGGAGGTGCTGGGGTGCAGGAGGGGAGCACCCAGCCACAGGGTGCCCCAGGCTTCTGCCATGCACCTTCCACCCCGGTCTGCATCGCGAGAGGAAAGGAGCTGGGGGTTGTGCTTGGCAGAAGCGAATGCTGACGCTTTATTAGGAGGCGGGGTGCCTTGCTTCCAGCTCAGCCCCTTGCTGGCTCTGCTGAGCTCACTGTGCCAGGAGCAGCACCCGGTGACGGGATCCCTCCGCACCAGCTCTATCCCTGAGCAATAACGTAGTCGATCCAGTTTCGGAACTGGCTCACGCGGGTGTAGATGGCTGGCGTGTAGATGTTGCAGTTGCTGTTTCCCCAGGAGACGATGCCGATCAAGGTCCAGACGTTCCCGTTCTGGTATACCAGGGGTCCGCCAGAGTCACCCTGCAGAGAAGACACCTCCTGCTCAGTGATCCTGGTGCGTGCTCCAAGCTGGTCCCTGCCACCCGGGGACACGGCCGGGTGCTAGAGCTTAAACCTCTGGCTCTGTAGATGTGAGCCCCCACATCTCCTCCTCCTCCTCCTCCTCCTCCACCCTCCCTGCGGTGCCGCGGGACCTCGGCTCCTTACCTGGCAGGAGGAGGCGCCGACCCCGCCGGCACAGAGCATGGAGCTGGTGATCCGGTTGCCCCAGTACTGCGTGCACTGGCTCTGGGAGATCAAGGGCAGGGTTACCTGCTGCAGGCGCGTTGCCAAGGCTTGGGCTGCCGGGGAAAGAAACACAGTTAAATCGCCCCGGTGTCCGTGGGTCTCCTCTCAAATGTGCGGGTGCTGCCGTGCAAAGCACCTTTCTCCCTCCGTGCCCACGAACCCCTTCTTCTCTGGGCGGGATCGTCCCGTGCAAGGGCAAGCTTGCACGGTCACCCCTGGGGTTTCCACGCATCCACCTCCTGAGCACACACCTACGCCTGTGCTTGCACCAATGCACGTGTAGGCACACTTGTTACTCGACTGCCCACCTGCCCCCCTCCCCGCATGCACACGAGGCGTCAGCACCCCCAGACCCTGCAGAGCCCCTGGGAAGGATGACAGCCACGCGCAGCCCTCCCCGAAGCTGCGGGGTACGTACAGTTGGTGTTGACGCGTCCCCAGCCGGTGGTGACGCACTGGAGGTTGGTGGGCAGAGCCAGGTTGGCGGGAGCCAGGCAGATGGGGGACACGCGGGATCCCAGCTGGGCAGGCGAGGCGAGCTTCAGCAGGGTGATGTCATTGTTCAAGGTGTAGGAGTTCCAGTTGGGGTTCGTGACGGCCTGCCAAAAAATACCGTAGCGCTTCATCCC